GCTGACCAACAACCTTTTTTTTTTTTTTTTTTTTTTTTTTTTTTTTTTCTTTGAGACAGGGTTTTCTGTGTATCCCTGGCTGTCCTGGAGCTCTCTGTAGACCAGGCCAGCCTTGAACTCACAGAGATCTGTCTGCCTCTACCTCCTGAGTGTTGGGATTAAAAGCATGTGCCGCCACCACCCCAACAACTTTTTCTAAAAGACAGCAGTTCCTTAGCTTGCAACTGGCTAAGTACAATAAACTGACTGGCCGGTAAGTCCTAAGGATCTTCCTGTCTCTGTTTCCCCAGCACTGGAGATCACAATTGTATGTTACTATGCTAGGCTTTTTGACATGGGTTCTGGAGATCAAACTCAGGTCCTTGTGCTTGCAGATCAAGCATTTTCCCATCTGAACAATCTTTTCAGTTTCTATTTCTATTATCTTAATTGCCAATATGATCTGACTATTCTCTCTGACTTGTAGTCCCAAGTCCCCAAGAGCCAGGTGGTATGCTTATATAGCCAAATAGAGATGCTTGTATAAAATAGAAGTTAGGCTTATCTGCCCTGCTTTTTTTATTTGGTTTAGTTTGGGAGGGGGAGGTTGTTTTTTATAGTTTGATTTTAGTTTTAGTTTTGACAATACTCTCTTATAGTTCAGGCTGGGCTCAACTCACTAAGTAGCTGAAGATGACTTTGAACTCTTGATCCTCCTATCTCTACTACCCAAGTGCTGAGATTATGGCATATACTACCATGCCCTGCTTTAAAAAAAAAGTGTGTGTGTGTGTGTGTGTGTGTGTGTGTGTGTGTATGAGGGGGGGTGGAGGACAGAGAGGTACACACGTACCACACCATAAATGTGAAGGTGAGAGGAAAACTTAGATGACTTGATTCTCTCCTTCTGCCTTAGGCTCAAGGGATGGAACTCAGGTCACCAGGCTTGCATGGAAAGTGCTTCTATTCCCTGAGCCTATCTTACCTGTCCTATGCTTGACTTTTTCTGCAACTGTTGATATCAGCCAGTTTCTTGAGCAGGTGGGGGAGTCTGTTCACTGTGGGATTCCTTGCTGAGCCTTGGAAGATTGTCTTCTTTTGCCTATGGGATAATAGGGTGATGGTATCTTTACCTGCCTTCCTGGTGCCAGTAATGAACACAATTCCAATTAATTGGGACAAGAAAATTATTTCCTTTGAAGTCCAAGATGCTCCATGTGTGAGGGGGACTGAACTTCAACTTTATTTCCCTTGGAAGTTTGGGGGATGGTGTTTTTGTTTTGCTTTGTTTTTTTGAGACAAGGTTTCTCTGTGTAACAGCTCTGGCTGTCCTGGAACTCGCTTTGTAGACCAGGCTGGCCTTGAACTTTGCCTCTGGATTAAACAGGCCAGTGGTTGTTTTTGTGCATGTTAAACACATACTCTGCTTCTAAGCTTATACTCTCAGTACCCCTTTAATTTTTTTTTTTTTTTAGGTTATCCCACGCAATCTGGGCTTTGAACTTGATATATATAACTGAGGATGATTATGTTCTTGATCCTCCTGCCTCTGACTCTCCAGGATTATAATTCTGCACCCTATACCAGATCCCCTTTAAGGTTTTGAAAAGCAGACTTTTAGGAGCTCTGTGGTTTAGAAGTGTCTGGAATAGGAAAGAAAAGGATGAGCCAGGCATACAGATACTGAGAAAAAAGAATTAGTTGAACAGGGTTGATGGAGGCTAGAAGACCTAAAAGGTAAAGGTACCAATGATGAGAATGCCCTACAGAGGTGTGGCAGGGAGCTGCTGTATTATTATTCTTGTGCAGTCCACAGTTGTGATTAGAGGCAGATCCACATATGCAGCCATGCTGGTTCTACTGCTCAGAAGAGAGCAGAGTGAAAGAAAGGCTGCCACCTTCTCACCGATACCAAGCTCAGACTTCATTAGGAAGTGCAGTGATACTTTTCTTGCTTGACAGAGTTGGGAGAAAGATGAACTGCAGTATCCCTTTTTGTTGATATCTAAGAGTCTTTCTGCAAAGCTTTGGTACTAACTGCTGGGAGGCAGAGAACTGAACTGTGTGATATTGGGCAAATGAAAGTAACCTTGCCACTTAACATTTCAGAGGTGAAACCATCAATGGAAGGAAGGTGGTAGAAAGTTAGGGCTTCTGCAGCTGGAGATGTAGCTTAGGTAGTAGACTGCTTGCCTAACACGTATGAAGCCCTGGGCTAAATCCAACCAGGCATAGTGGCCCATGCCTCTGACCCTAGCACTTGGGATATGAAGGCAAAAGTATCAAAAGTTTAAATCATCCTCAGCTATAAAGTGAATTCACGACCAGCCTGAAATTCATGAAACCCTTGCCTGGAGAAAAAAGAAATAAAAGTTCTTCAGAGTGACCAGAAAACTTACCAGGGACTCCTTTTTCTACTCACCCAAGTAGAGCTACCCTAGCCTCACTAGAACAAAAAATAGTGTCCTAAAACACTTAGAAATGACTTACTTTCCCTTTTATGTTTTTGTTTGTTTATTTGGAGACAGGATTTCTCTTGTGTAGCTCTGGCTGTCCTAGAATTTGGTTTGTAGACCAGGCTGGCCTCCAACTCACAGAGATCCACCTGCCTCTGCCTCCTGAGTGCTGGGATCAAAGGTATGTGCCACCATGCCCAGCTAGAGGTGCATTAGATGCTCTCTTTATTTAGGCAGAGGCCTTTAAGTCTACTGATGGCTATCTCCAGATTCTGAAGCCAGAATCATCTGACAAAATATTCTAAACTTACTCTCCTGATCTGCATCACCCTGAAATCCCTTCTGGTTTGGTGACATTCAAGGCTGCTCTTGGAGGCAATGGCTTTCACCAGCATTGTTCTCTGACTACGTCTACAAGTCCATCCAGAGAGACCTGAGTTTCAATTCCTATGTATCCCTGTTTTTTGTTGTTTTTTTTTTTAGAAGTTATAGACCCATGAATCCTGATTTCTTTTTTGTCTTCTAACAGCCTTCCAGTTCCTAGAGTTTGTATAGAATAGTGGGGAAGGTAATAAGGGGTAGAGAAAGGTGGTCATAAATTTTTAAAGAATCCCAAATGACTAATGTAATTCACAACTCTTATAAAATAATAGTATATATGCATACACTGTTTGGTAACTTTTTTCAGGGTTAGAATTCAGCTAGCACTATTGAATACTACTTTGTGCCAGGAACTGTTAAATCATTTCATCCACATAAGTTTATGTTTTTCTCCTACTCAGCAGCAATGTGAAGTAATTATTTTTTTTTCTCAATTTGCAGTTGAAGACACTGAAACAGAAGATATATGGTGTATTTAAGTTTTTACAGCTTATAAACATAGAGCAAGGGTATGGTGTCAGGAAGCCAGACACGCAGAAAAGTGGTGCAGCTTCTGCAAGGTTGATGACGGTTGATGAGAGGTGCTCTCCACTAAGTGAAGCCTAGTGTAGGATTGCTGTCTCTTATTCCCTGGACACTCTGTGTCTGAAAGGAAGAGTTTCTGTAACCAAAGTCAGGAGTGGTAACTAGTGCCTATAATTACAGTACTTGGAAGGCTGAGGCCAGAGGATTGCTACAAGTTTAAGGCCAGCCTGGCTATAGTGTAAGATTATCTCAGAAGATAGTAACAGCTTTGATACTAAACAGAGAGAGAGGCAGGAAACTAGTGTGTGAAATATGTTATAAATAAGGAGATATTAGTTTAAATAGGAAAAGGAAAAGTATCACCACAGGCATTTGAAGGTGATATAGGAAGAACAAGAACAAAGTATTTAGAGTTAAAGGGAATAAGACCCCAGTTGCTCCCCAGTATACTGAAAAATTTGTAAGACTTTATAACCATATCACATGTAAAACAGCATTTTGCACATATAAGCTAAGAACCAAGGCTAGTATGAGTAAGTACAGAAGGAATGAAGAGTGTGCAGTGATCAGAACTGAAGGTAGTGAGGGCAAATTTCTGTTGAGATGACTTCTCTGATGTTGAAGGAGTACAGGAAGACAGGAGGAGGAGGTGCTTGGGAAGGCTTCAGGAAGACATGAATGTGACACCACTAACCAGTGCGTGTGTGTCCCTTTCTGTTCTTGTCTCCCTCCCTCCTCTAGCTTGGAAGCTCCAAGTCTGGCTGTAGCCATGGGAGACATGGTAGTGGAGCCTGCCACCCTGAAACCAACTTCTGACCCTACTGCTAGCCCATCAGGGAATAACGGGGGCACCTTGCTAAGCGTCATCACGGAGGGGGTCGGGGAACTATCAGTGATTGACCCTGAGGTGGCCCAGAAGGCCTGCCAGGAGGTGCTGGAGAAAGTCAAGCTTTTGCATGGAGGTGTAGCCATCTCTAGCAAAGGCACCCCGCTGGAGTTGGTTAATGGGGATGGTGTGGACAGTGAGATCCGTTGCCTAGATGATCCACCTGCCCAGATCAGGGAGGAAGAAGATGAAATGGGGGCCACTGTGGCCCCTGGCACAGCCAAAGGAGCAAGAAGACGACGACAGAACAACTCAGCCAAACAGTCTTGGCTCCTGAGACTGTTTGAGTCAAAACTATTTGACATTTCTATGGCCATTTCATATTTGTATAACTCCAAGGAGCCTGGAGTGCAAGCCTACATTGGCAACCGCCTCTTCTGCTTTCGAAATGAGGATGTGGACTTCTATTTGCCCCAGTTGCTAAACATGTATATTCACATGGATGAGGACGTGGGCGATGCCATTAAACCCTACATAGTCCACCGATGTCGCCAGAGCATCAACTTTTCCCTCCAGTGTGCCCTGTTGCTTGGGGCCTACTCTTCAGACATGCACATTTCCACTCAGCGGCACTCCCGAGGGACCAAGTTACGGAAGCTAATCCTCTCAGATGAGTTGAAGCCAGCTCACCGAAAGAGGGAGCTGCCTTCTTTGAGCCCAGCCCCTGACACAGGGCTGTCTCCCTCCAAAAGGACTCACCAGCGCTCTAAATCAGATGCTACAGCCAGCATAAGTCTCAGCAGCAACCTGAAACGAACAGCCAGCAACCCTAAAGTGGAGAATGAGGATGAGGTAAATTGGGAGAGGGACAGATCGGCAAGGTGTCTGAGGGCTGCATGGAGACAGGATGTCTTACGTGGGGTCACTCTATTTTCTGTCCTCCCTTCTGTTTCATTTCACTGGTAGAAGCATGGAATGTTAGAATGGAAAAACAAACAAACAAACCCTTAGAATTCATGTATTCCAGTGGCCTCATTTTACAAAGGAAAAATACGGAGACTTGAGAGATAAAGTGTCTTCCCACAGGTCAACTAGCTAATGGCAGGGCTGATACTCTTGACTTTGTCTGAGAGTTGGCTTTCACTAAACTGTGTTGTCATTCCATTCACCACATACTAAGAACTGTGACACAGGTCTAATGACCCTGCTTGAGACCTGGCCTAGCTGAGATCATATCAGCCACCACAGGGAAGGAACAGGGGCTGTGTTCTTTCTATGCTGGAAGAGAAAGGATACTAACTAGCACATCAGCTGCTTCTCCTGGCCGTTCCTCATAATTCCTTTCCCTCACTCCCCAAAGATCCTACTTTTTGTTAATGTAGGGTAGAATTTATTCTCTACCAGTGGAGCCTCAACAGAATATACTGCCTTTATTTGAGATAAACAAAAAGGGAAAAGTAGCCTTGGCAGAGTAAGTCTAATGCCTGGTCGAAGAGCTGGGGCTGAGAAAAGGAAACTCGGCAGCATCAGGCTATCTAATGTCGATACTGAGCAGGAAGAGAGTGGTCAGTAGCTTAGTGCCACCGTCTACTATACATCTTGACAGATAGTGGGGAAAGGTGCCCAGTGGATAACCAAGTTCAGAGGCCTGGTGTCCAAGCCAGGCTAATGGTACTCCAGTCTTCATCTCTGATTCACTGTTGGCAAGCTCTCATGCTGGCTGCTAGCCGAGCCTAGAAAAGAAGGTATTAAAAAAAAAAAAATGAAGAATTTACACTGTTGGAATGCATATGCCCATGGTCCTGGCATCTGGCTCTGTAGGGTACAAACCACCCACATTTTTGCTATAGTAAAGTTTCTTTCAAGTAGAGGGAAGTCAGAGTGGCTACAGAAAGGAAAAGCAGTAGGCAAGGGAAATTCAGAGTCCCTGGAAATTTATTTTAGTAATACTAAAGCTAAATGTGCCAGTGTTGGTTGACCATTGATAGGTAGACAACATGCTAGATAATGTATGTGGAATCCTTACAACTCTAACTGGTGTTATTTTACCAGTGAGAAATCAGGATTAGAGAAGTTAAATAACTTTAGGAAGGTCACTCAACTAGTGACTGTTAGGCCAGGAGCCCCAGTCCATAGTTCATGCTCATAGTCACTCAGCTGAGCTGCCTTGGTTATTCCTCATCATCTAGTTCCCTAGATCCCAGCTGTAAGAAAGTCAGTGGGGAAGAAGAGCCCAGGATGTGACAGTCTACACTTCCACATCCACGTGTAGCCAAAGCCCAAGCTATTGTGGGAACTAGAGCAGACTGTCTTCATTTCTGTTTGAGCTTCAAAGCAGAGTCCAGGGTCTAGGAAGGGAGGGCATTGCAGAGCAAGAAGAATCCTCCAGATTTTGGTAGAACTAAGGTCCTGAAGGGCTTGAGCTTATCTGAGAGAGATGCCTCATCTAAGATCAGATCTGGTCGGAGTGAGTATGAACATCTGGGAGGGAATTCATTGGTGCCTCTTGTCTGGCTTGACTTTTCCCTGTATCTATTTTTTAGTCTGCATCTTAGGACCAGAAAAGCAGAGGCCTTAGGGTTTCTCTTATCCTGTGCTGGTCTGGGGTCCCTCTTCTATGCATCTAACTTCTGCTGCAGGATTATGGATGGCTCTGAGAGGCAGGTATTCTATGAGTGTTTAAATCTCTAGGGTGGGTTTTCCAGTTGCCATTCTTCCCCACCTGGTTCATCATGGGTCACTGGATCCAGGGAAGGAAGATGATAGCACTTCCCCAGGCCCTCCTGGGTTATCTGATGCTGGTAGAGTGAGACACTTGAATCCACTGAGGCTCCTTGGGAGCATGAAAGAGAAACAGAGAACACAAACATAAATACCACTAGTTCCTAGGCATGTAGTTTCTGCCAGTCCTTTTGATGTTTTGAGGATATGTCTATCAAAGCTTTTGTGCTTGAGGTACCAAGGGAATTGATCTTCCTTTTCTTCTTCCCTTGTCATGAAACACTGATTCACTAAACAGTGTTTTGTTTAGTGTACAGTTGCTTGTACAGTGTGCAAAGTTCTGTCCCAAAGGCAGCAGAAGATGGAGGAAAAAATGTTGTTCTTAGACTAAGAACTGATAAAGTTTAATACCAAAGCTCCAATATGAGGAGCTAGTCAGTGTGTGTCTTTCTTGAAAAGTTCTTTCCAGAAGCACTAAGTATATACATATCTTATTAAAATAAACCACAATTTTTTCTAGAGCCCAAGCAAGATCTTCTAAAGAAGGAGAGTTTCTGGTTGGGGCCTGACATACTCTGCTCCCAGTCTCAATTTTCCTTTGGGTTTTGGTTAATCCCATGCTCCCCCCACTATGGGAAGTGAGGTAAGGCCTCAGGGAAGAGGCCCAGGGCTACTTTCTGCCTGGAGCCTCCCTACAAAGCTCTTCTTCACTGGCCAGATCTCAGAAGTTTCCATTTTCTTATGAGAAGTCCTTCATGCTTCCCATAGAGGGTTGTAGCATTGATTTCTCAGATCTGCCACACACACACCCAAGCCCAACCTTCAAAGCAGTTCTTATCAGTCAATTTTTCTTCCTATTTGAAGCCAAATGATAAATATTTTGGCGTGGGGGCGGGGTCACAAGGATCAGAGAGTGGTTTAGGTACCACCCCCTAGGTCCATCTTCCCTACATAATGTCATTCCAAATAGATAGCTTTGTCTTTTCAGGACTGTAACCTTTGTACAGAGAAATCTGCTGCATGTCACACAGGAAGCCCTTCCAGCCTGATAAGGGTGTGAGGTCAGCTCTTGGCTTCAGCTTTACTCCCTGAAGCTGACTCAGTACAAGTGACTCAGGCCTAGGGAGTAGGAGGAGAGGAACAGATCATGATATCCTCCTGCCCGCCATAGACATTAATGAGTCCACTGAGTCCTGTCTGGGAGAGGATCAGCTAGAGCCAACCTCCTGCCTATTACTCTTCCCCAACTAGCTTTGGTGTAGAAATTGAACCCGTAGGTTATAACACATTCTGCCATCCTCACTGTCTCAACCCTCCCTCCTACTTCTACCCAAAGTAGAAGAGTTGTGGTCTTAGTGAGGTGTTTCCAAATATGGCTACACCCTGTAAATGCTCTCCTGCCCAGTTTCATAAAGGAAAACCCAACCATAGCACATTAGCGAGAAGAACTTCAGCCATAGAACTGAATTAGGCAGATGTTTGTAATGCTGATTGTAGAGAAGTACAGTACCTACTGCCTTCTTGCTCTGGAAACTCTTAAGACAGCCTCTTAGTCTATTCCACTCCCCTCCTGCTTTGTGCACACATTCTGTGCCTACTGCCTGCCCTGGTAGACTGTGGTGGACAAAACCCAGGATGTCCCAGTGCATGGGTACTGCTCCACAACTACTGAGTGGCTGTCCCTCATTCGTTCCTGGGTATCGGCTCAACAAAAGAGAAGGATGAAGTTTATTTTTTAAAATTTTTGTTTGTTTCCTAAGAAAAACTCTGAGTATGTAGCCTGGGTCAGCCTTGAACTCTTTCTTGATCCTTCTGCCTTGGCCTCCCAAGTACTGAGATTACAGGTGTGTGTCACTGTACTCAGCTAGGGTAAAGTTTAGACTATTGGGATCTAGACTTTGGGCTGGTATCAAGACTGCTACTGCCCTGCTAATTAGCTTTCTCAGATGGATTTAGCTAGGACCTAATTGTCCAACATCAGTCCAAAAACAATGTATTCCGTGTCATGTGCAGTAGCCTGATGTTCATGAGACTGACACATGTAAGCATCCATCCAGGTCACAGGTTTCAGGTTCATGGGTCTGGGATGCCCTTTTGTCACAGAGGTTCAAGGTTGGGATTAGACTTCCTAGGGTGATCATGAGGCTGACTTGAGAAGATATGTACACCTGAAAGGTTAGCTTTTCCTGAGATTGACAAGAAACTAGAGGAACATAGATTCTCTAGCACAGGGGTCATGCAGGTAGGGGTTGTCCCCGTGGAGAAGGCGTTGGTTAAAGCAGTGAGTGGGTGATAGGAAAGAAATGAGCCTTGGCCAGACAGTCACTGCATTAGGAATCCAGCTCTAGGGATTGATCTAAAAGGAAGGTTTGTTCAGGCTAGAATAGGAGATAAAATAGAAAACAAGGTGCCTTGGCCTTGAGCTCTTGATCTCGAGGTCTGAGCTAGCCTTCCAGCATCCCACAGAGGTCTAGACTCTGGGCAAGTGGCATTTCCAGGCTAACCATCTCTCACTAAAGCAGAAAGATATAGCTGCACAAGAGAAGAGTTATGATCCAAGTTGGAGCTAAATTCTTTGCCTTTGTCTCTTTCCCTTCCCCCAACCCCACCCCTTCTTCCCCTTGCCCTCTGGCCCTTTCCCAGGAGCTCTCCTCCAGCACCGAGAGTATTGATAATTCATTCAGTTCCGTAAGTGGGGCCAGACTGGGACTGGGTGGCAGGCTCCCCATGTGGCCGCATTTCCTCTCCGTCCCATGTCTTCTATGACCAGTGAAGGCCCCTTTAATTCCAGGAGATTAGCATCTCCTTACCAGGCTTCCCAGACCTGGAGGCACTCCCTCTGAGCTTTGCTGCCAGTGCCCTGAGCCCTGGCCCAGACAGGCTCAGCTGAGTCTTTACTCAGAGACAGCAGCTGGAATGTTATGCTGCTCCTAGGTCTCTGGAGCAAACAGCTGGGACAGGTAGAATTTATTCCTGGATTAGAGCCAAGGACTGCTTGGCAGAAACCTCCAGGATCCCATTTCTCCCACCAAGAATCCTGACTTCTGCCCATGACTTCTGCCATCAGCCCATCAAATATTTATTCAGTTTTCTAAATGTTAGGCTCTATGCTGGCTGAGCCAACTCCAAAACCAAACAGGAACTAGCCCGAGGGAAAGTATTACCTTCCCACAACTGGTTTTCCTTTTTAACTTCATTTCTTCCAGGTCTGAGTTCTTCTTTCCCCAGCCCACTGCCCACAATGTCCTGTCATCCCTGCTCCCCTCTCTTATTCCCTCTGGACTAACCCACAACCCTCTGGTGCTACAGGGTCCTAGACATTGTTCCTGGGCAAAGGCGTGAGAGGAAATGCTGGACCCTCTGGGAGTTTGGATAATTTAAAATTTTTTTTTAACATTTTATTCTTTGTCTACCCACTCTGTTTTCTATTTTCTCTGCTGATCTCCTTTTAATCATGATCCCTTCTCCTCCCATGTGGCAGAGCCTCGTTTTTTGGAGGCCTGGGGTCATATCCAGTGTGGTTAGGAAACATAGGGGTCTACAACTGAAAGGCTGGTTGGAGGATGGAAAGAGTCCTGCCTTTCCTAACATGAGACGACTGAATTGGTTGGGTGGAGGGTCCTTTGGACAGTGACCCTTTGCCACCTGAGTGGATGGATTCAGGGATCAGGATAGAGGCATGAGTCTTCAGAACTCAATCCCCCCACCCACACACGCTTTCTTTCTGGGGTAGAGCCCAGGGCCTCATTCTTTTTGTTGTTGTTGTTGTGTTAGGCCCCCGGATATTTCTAGGGGTCCTTGAAGTTCAATTTCATTTTCTTTTTCTCCTTCAACCCTATCCCTAAAGCTTCCCTTCCTTGCTGCTGTGCAGGGCTCTAAGCCAGCGCTCCTCCTCCCATCATGAAGTAGAGGCTGTGTGATTCCTTTGCACCTGACTCTCTCCCACATGTGCAGGTGAACAAGAGAAGTTCTCAAGAGAAGCTTCTGGATGGGAAAAACTTAACCAGGCCCCACCCCTAGATGAAGTGCTATAACCGTCAGTAGCTGCTGGGGGAGAGAGAATCCATTTTCTCTAGGAATGAGCCCTATGACAGGTCTCCCAATCCTAAATGGTCAACCATAAAAACTTTTATATATGTGCAACACTAATTGAACTTAGTAAAAGATGTATAAACAATAGTTAAGTGGCTGGGAAAATGGCTCAATGGTTCAGAGCACTGGTTGCTCTTCCAGGGGGCTTGGTTTTGATTCCCAGCACCCACATGATGGCTCACAACCACCTGTAAGTAAAGTCTCAGAAGACTGATGCCCTCTTCTGTCCTCCATGGGCAAGGTACACATATGGTACACAGATACGTAGACAGAACGTCTATACATATAAAATAATTTCTTAAAAAATTAGTTAGGTGTGGTGATATGTGCCTTTAATCCCAGTACCTAGAAGGCAAAGGCAGGCAGATCTCTGTGAGTTTAAGGCCAGCTTGGTCTACATGGCAAAGGTCTAGGCCAGCTAGAGCTACACAGTTAGACCCTGTCTCAAAAACAAAAATAATTTCCATGCCCAGTAGTTTCATCTTTTTTGTAATATTGTAACACTATTACAGAAAAGGTGGAAAGAAACTGGGTCTTTCTGCTTCCAGTGTTTCCAAACTCTGAATAAATTTACTTTCAAAAATTAATTTTTATTATAGAAGAGATCATGAATTCAAAAGGGAGTAGGATGAGCATGATAAGGGTGGAAATGATATAAATATAGTATATTCATATATGAAATTCTCAAAACAATTTTTTCATTAACAAAAGAAGGCTTGAATAAATTTTGTTCTTAATCTCTTAAAAAAGAAAAAAAAGATGTTGTTCTTTATCTTTTCTTTTTTTTTCCTTTCTTGTGGTATGAGCAATAAGGGTAGAAATTCTCAATCAGAAAATAAGCAAGCTTGGTATGGTGGTGCACATCTTTAAATCCCATAACTGAGAAGGTAGAAGCAAACCCTATCTCCAAAAAAAAAAAAAAAAAAAAAAAAAAAGTCGGGGGTGGGGGTGGGTTGGTGAGATAAAAGCCTGGTAAATGAAATACTATTCTAATAAGAACAGAAGAGAGACTCTTTTACA